GTAGCCAAGGGGGGTCCTAGGGTGCCCGTGACCCCTCCTCGGTGGGCCTTCCTCATAGCAAACAACCTACAATATTCAGGTAACGAAAACGCCATGACAATATCTTGGCCGTAAAAGCCATTGTTGAAAAGCCCACTCTTTTAAAATTTGTTGTTTTTGCAAAGTATTTTCGTCAACGGCTCTTGTATTTAGTTAATATAGGCCTTCACGGCGCGATAATATGACTGAGCCCGCTGATACACGCGAGAGAGCAGCGGTGTAAGTGGTAAGTAGACTCTGTGACCCCGCCTTTGAAAAATCCTGGCTACACCCCTGTTGTAGAATACCGCCTGCTCACGAACTGAGAAAAAATATTCTTGTTTATGTCGTTCTTGGTGTGTGTCAATTTAGGGTTGATTCAATCGCAACGTATCGTGGTACCCTAACTTCCAGCCCTGATTGGCATTAGGGGCGGCATTCTGAATGGTGCAAGCGTACCCCGATGCTGTGATATGATTGGTACGTGATACATACCTGATGCGGCAATCTGATTGGTTTTGTGATAAATGAAAAATAGGGTAATCTGATTGGTACGTGATATCTACGATATTGCAGCAATATGATTGGCTTGTGATACATGAGAAATGCCGCAGTCTGATTGGTGCGAGCGACATACCACTTTTTTCGCTGGCATAGAGTTATTTATTTATTTTATTTTTTTTTTTTAAATAACTCAATGATGGATAGGGCTTTCTCCAATTTAAAAGTGTAACATTTTTCGCACTTACTGCAGTTAAACTCGCTTTTGCATTCGCACGAGTAGGAACCATCCGTGTTATTGCAAATTTCTCTTTTGTGACAACGGTGGGTGTTACTGATACACTCGTCTATATCTAGAAAACACAAAGGGAAGCAATATGGACATATAAGTTTTAACACGAAATGACTGACACCCATTTCAATAGTTTTCATGTACTTTAATGCAAACCAAGACCTCAAATATCAAACTTTTCCCAACGCCAGTTGACAACACGGCCCCTAGGTCCTTTCAAAATACCAGTGTATAAATTGCTTCTCATTCCGATCTTAATGCGCACTACATGCTAATTTCCGAAAGATTATATGCTTCCTTGAGAGCGGAATCGAAACTTACAACGTCATCTGTAGAGTCTATGATCATGTCCGCTCTTTACTGCGAGAGCGAAATGTCCGAATGACGTATTTGGCTTGTGATTGACAGATAGAGCAAAATTGCACCAATTAGCAAAATTGCAAAACAAAGATGAGTTCGGACAGGCGTAATGCTCACTTCCCCACCCCAGCCCCTCTGTTTATTTTTGACTGTCACCTGCACCTTTAATCCAAATTACTTTCGCACCCCAGCCTTCCGCTGCCATTAAAGTCTGACATGGTGGTCAGTTTTCGCTGAAAAAGTACTGAGCAGTCACTCGCCAAAATTACGCTCGCTCTGCATGCTGTTTAACCATCTGTCTATCAAAATCTAGTAATTTGCATATATCAACAAAGTTAAAATGGTAAATTGGCCACCGTAACGATTACAAAAGCTGACGTTTCGAGCGTTAGCCCTTCGTCGGAGCGAATAGAGGAATTGTGGGTTGTGTGTGCTTTTAAAGGCAGAAAATGGAGCTACGTTATTGGTGGGAACATGGCAACGAGAAAAACACGAATAAATTAGTGGAATGAAAAGCGTTCGTTGATCCCTGTGGGATTTAGACTGCCGGTTTGAAAGATGAGCTTTTGTTCAAGAGTTTTACGGCTTTCCGTGCTACCTAAGTGTAAGGAAAGACCGCAGATTGCCATATGTTGCTTAGAATGATTAGGTAAATTAAAATGTCTAGCGACTGGTTTCGATGTGTCCTTGTCATTCCTTTCCACGTCTCGAAGGTGTTCTCGGAATCGGTCACCTAGTCTTCTGCCTGTTTCGCCGATGTATATCTTTTTGCAATAAGTGCAAGTTATGCAATAGATTACATTGGCGGAGGTGCACGTGAAGTGATCGGTGATCTTAATGGATCGTTTAGGTCCCGATATTTTATCAGTGTTGTGAATGAAAGGACACGTTTTGCATCGTGCACGAGCGCATTTAAAAGTGCCTGGTTGGTCATTAGTCTGAAAAGAACTTCTGACCAAAAAATTGCCTATGTTTTTGTCGCGTTTGAATGAAATGAGCGGAGGCTGCGAAAAGATAGTGCTTGTCTCTGGATCGTTTTGAAGTAATTTAAAGTTTTTAAGAATGATGGATTTAACTGAGTGGTTGTGAGGGTGAAACGTGAGAGTGAATGGAATGCGGTCGGAATCTTCCTTATGCGACGTTTGTAGTGCTGAATGTCGATCAATAAGTTGAGCGCGGTGGTAACCCGCTTGAACGACGGAAACAGGGTAACCACGTTTATCGAAGAACTGGCACATTGACTCTGATTTGTGGTG